TCTCTTGCCCTCACTTTATCTGTAGCTCTCCCCGAAGACTGTGGTGCTTGGCGTCCCATCACTGTCTGTACATCCCTTTTGTCCCATGCCACCTTTGTTACGTGGTTGACTGTTTCATCCATTTTCCTCAAGAGCCAATAGTATTTATTCAACCCAAGGCTATAGAACAGCAGACAGGCAGAGCCAGGTGACCTGTGACAGCCTCAGGGGGAGCAAACTTGTTCCCCAACTCTGGAAGGAGCTGGAAGCACAAGGGCTGTATCTCTTCCTTTTGATTTCAAATGACCTCAGCATCTGTGAATAATGCTATCTACTTGTAGTTACTCACTCAGTGTGTTCCCATGTGTTTGGTGGGGAGTTGAGTGGCTGCCATGGCAGGCTTAGGTTTTCAGAGAACAGCTTGAGGAAGTCAGGCCTTACCTTCCCCCACAATTTCCCCAGGATCAAATACAGATTGTCACCTTTGGTTCAAAAGCCTTGTCTTTTGATCCATCCTGCCCAGGCCAAAGATATGGCTCCTGCCTCCAGATTGGTTGACACTGCCCAGCATAATTTGTTTGGCTTCTGATAAAGTCAGTCTGCACTCAGTGCCCTGAAATGTGCTGTTGTGTAAAATCTGGCCAGGGAAGGAGCAGGCAGGACACGGAGAGCTGGAGAGCCCAGGTTCATTTCATGCTCTTTGGCCTGGACCTGGCTAGTGCTTTGCAAAGTGTGGCTCCAACCTGGTTTTCTGGCTGTTCCTCTGGGCTGACAACTGTGCTGAATTTGTTCTCTATGCAGCCGCCTGCAGAGGGCGCTTTTGGACAAAGTTCCATTGAGTTAGGAATGCTTACAGAAGCAGGGTTTACAAGTTTCCAGCAACTTCTGCCATTTCTTCCCTAAGAGGGAGCTTTTTCCAGTGTTATCCCTGGGCAGTTTGTGTTTGGGAGTTTGGAGGGGGGGAGAGGTTGTGGTGGGGGTTCATCTGACGTAAGCAGGAACCCAAAGCTGAAGTTATCATTTTATCCTGAGAACATTAGAGTAAAATTGTAGTTCATTTTATTTCTAGGTGATCCTAGAGCCCTGAGGGAGGAATTACAAGCGAAGTCTCCACAGTGTAGAGAGCGGTTTGACCCCTAGGTACACATTAACGGAGATAACATATATAACCCAAATTCTTTCTCACCTTTGCCACCACTGTCCCTGCACCCCACAGGGATCCACTCATTGGTCCTTTAGATGGCCTGACCCCTGGCAAGGGCTCCACCCACTCTCCTGTCACCAGCAATCCACCCTTAACAGCACCACCAGCTGTGTCACTACCCTGAAGTCACTGCCTAACAGACAAAGGGTGAGTGGATGCTGTTGCTGCCAGAGGCAGGGCTGTGGCTGCTGCTCACAGCACCCATGGGGAAGGAGAGGGAGGCACTGCTGTGTCTTCTCCATCTTCAAGACTCTTGCTCTGGCTTTAGCCCATTATTAGTGCCTCAGTTTCTCCAGATGTCATGTTGCTTTCTTCTGTACTGCCTTTTCTTGTTTTCAGGCTGCTTCCCCTTCCTCTAGTCTTGTCTGGCCCTCACTTCAGACTCTCTCTGCTGTCTTCTCTTTGACCTACTAGCTGCCCACATGAACCTTGTTCTCAGCCACAGAAACACGAACTCCTCAGTGTTCAGTTCACAGACTTGCTCTCACTCACTTCCCCCTCTAACTGGCCAGTGTGTCCAGGCCATCTTCCTTGACCCCTGTGCTGCTTAGTGGCAAGTGTCACTGAAGCCATCTTCCTGCAGTCTTGTGGGTTTTGACAAGTTCTGCAGACACAGCTCCAGCTCCCTAGCCACCTGTTGTCCTGTTCCTCCAGCAGCCCTGCCCTTTGTCTCATTGTGTAGCTGCACTTAGAGTCTGCTACAAGGGTATACACATCCAGTGCAAGGCAGGCGAGCCCAAATGCTTCCCCTCTGACTCTGGCTCCTCTCTTCATTGACCAAGCAGGACTTCAAAGGCTTTCCACACCTGAGCAGACACTGGGCATGGAATTTCACTGTGATCATCCTCCTGGCCATCCTGATGGCACAGACATATTGTCTGATTGCTTTCAGAGTTCTGTTGATATTTTTCAGTGCTTTGGAAACCTTTCTAGAACCCTCAGCCAGGGTCACTGAAGTCACATTCATTATATCCCTGGTGGTTTAAACCACTCATCTGGGTTCAGCTTCGTCTGACATCTTGCTTTCTTTAGCCACAGTGGTAGCACCGACGACAGTAGCTGCTACTCCCAGCCCTGACACCACTCCTAAGAGCTGCAGACTGCCCCCTCATGTGAAGGGGACCACAATTATAGCAGCGATGCCCAGAACCCCAGAGGCAGTGCCCGTGGACTGGCCACCACATTGGAGATGGCACAACCCTGTGCATCTCTTTAATTTTGTCACCCTGGGCTCAGAGCTTCCTGATGTTCACCGTGAGCCTATTTTCAGATGAAAAAAACCATCTAAAACTGCTTCCTGTCCTAAGCATTTTGAAGGCTCTTGCTGTGGTCCACAGCCTTGTGTCCTTCCTGCTTCTTCAGAGCGTCATGTACCACAGCTTCCTGCTCCTGTGACAGATGAGGTAAAGCACCTGAGCCTCATGGATCAAGTCAGGGCCACACACAAAGATTCAAGAGCATCTGAGACGCAGCTGTAGTAAGTGCTAGGCCAGCAGTTGAGTTCCTCTGAATGTGGACAGTGTAACAGGGGAATTTCTCTTGTGGATAAGGTCCCGGGAAATCCTCTGTCTCGAGTTGTGCAGACTGTCTTCTGACCATGCTCACTTTGTAAGCTGTCTCAACCTTCCTGATATTCAAGGAGAAGAACAGAGGAGAGTTTCAAATGTTACCTGAGAACTTTTAGCAAAGACTGTGTGCGGGGGGCACACTCAAGCACATCCTTGCACACCCTTGTCTAACGTCACAGCAGGGGTGATGAGGTACCCTCTTCCTCTTGTATGTCCTCTGCTTTGTGCCTTCTGTCCTTCCCTCTCCTTCCACTCATGCTGTCCTGCCTTCCACCTATGCCGCCATTCCAGGGGCACTCAGTCTCTCCTGATCCTTGCCTGTGACCCTGGTCCTGGTCTCTGGGCTTTGAGAAGAATGCTGGCACTTGGTTTTCCATCCCTGCTGTGTTTCTCATCCCAATCTGTCACCACATCCTATCAGACTGAACTTCCTTTCCCACTGTATCGGGCTCCTGATCTTAATAAGGATACTTAGGATTCACCCCAGCTCTGTGCAGCTGCACCGTGGGCTCTCTGCCTCCTCAGTGCAGAGAAAGACCCTGCTGTTGTCACAGCTTCTCAGATGGGAGGAAAGGGACTGAGCGAGAACCTGGATCACAGGTTCATTTTGTCTACACTTTCCTGATTTGTCCCATAACAAGGTTATTGAGTCCTCTCTCCTACAGGGAGAATTTTGTCCTAGTTTCTTTGCACTAGGCTTTCAAATGTATCTCTTAGGAGTACCTACTATGCACTGGCCATATTTAAAGCTCTCCTTGTATATTTTGATCCTGATTTTCTTACATTAAATCTCAATGGTGACGACATTAAATCAGGAACTGGTAACTGTCTTACCTACATCATGTATCTCGCAGATGTTGTCCTGTGACCTCTAGGCCTCTTAGCCAAAACAGTGTCATCCTCTCCTGTCAGGGTCCTGGTGAGAGATGACCAGCTGAAGATACAGCCAAGAGAAGGGATTGAATGGGCACCTGGGAGAGATAAGGAACCATGTTCTGGCATCTTAGGGTGGGAACTGTGTGTAGCAACAGTAACACATAATATCAATTGTGAACTTGGTACCTGGGTATGGGCTTTTTTCGAAGTCCAGCTTTGGCCAATCAGGGGAAACTGAGGCAAGGGCATAGAGTTGGTGATTGCTCACTCAGCAGACTTTTCTTTTAGGGAATAAAGCTTGAGTCAGTGGGGCCTGTACTCCCTGTGCCTGGGAAGAAAACCTTTGAACTCTTTGGGGCCTGGTGAGAAAGAAAAATAAAAAAAGAAGGGAAGAATCCTGCACACACACACAGACACACAGACACACACACACACACGTGTAGACACACACATACATACACACACATACACACATTCAGACACAAAGACATGCACACACACATACACACACATGTAAACACACACAGACTTGTACACACACATACATACAGACATTCATATACACACACACACATACACACAGACAGTTGATGGGTAGAGCAAAACAAGCTCCAACAACTTTATTTTTCTTCCACATCTTATATATCCAAGCAAAATCTTGTAAGCAGTGTAAAAATTACAATGTGCCCATATTTATTAATCTTCTAGTAAATGATTATAAAAACCCAGTATGTTCCCAAATACCTTTTTCATGAAAAACATTTTACCTATCACAGGTGAAGAAAAAGCAAATTATTCCCAAGAACGCACAACATTCGTAACTAAGCAACTTGTTATAGGTTAACAAAGTGTAAGCAAGCAAGATAATTTTCTCTGGCCGTTTGTTTTTCCTGGAAGGCTACAATTTGCAGGTAGAAAGAAACAATCAATTACTTTGCTATTTATTGTAGAAGGCAATCTTACAAAAATCTTAACAGAATCACAAATCTAAACATTTATATTTAAAAATCAGAAATTTCTATTTTAAATTCTTGGCATGCATTAATAATCTACTCATTGTCAATTTTTAAAATTAAATTATATCAGGAAGCTGAGGACATACATGGGTATAAGAAGTCAATCATCACCTTGATCACAAGCCCAGTTTTCGAAAGAGTGGCACTGCAACTGAACAGTCAGCCCTTTATTGTTCTTGTTCCCTGACTTTAAAAAATCCCTAGTGAACTATTAAGAGGGTGCCTTTTGGAACTTCAAATTGTTTTCTAGGATTTTCTACATCAGAGCCAATAGAAAAACATCTTTTTTAAAAAAATATTTGTTTATTTATTCTTTGTATGTGAATACACTGTGGCTGTCTTCAGACACACCAGAAGATGGCACTGGATCCTATTACAGATAGGGTTGTGGGAAACTGAACTCCAGACCTCTGGAAGAGCAGTCAATGCTCTTAACTACTGAGCCATCACTCCCCAGCGAAAACATCTTAACATAACTTCTCCATCTCCAAACTCTTTCTAAGTGTGGTGGTCATTGCTAACAATCTACCCCTCTAAGTTCTTCCTGAGGGTGGTGACTGAATCATTAATCTGCTCCAGCAGCAATGCTAGAAAAAGATCAAGCACTATTATTGTGAGTGCCCATGATACTGCTCAGTGAGCGGTTGGAAGCCCCCTTAGAATCTTCATACAAGACACAGATTAGGAAGGACGTGAAGACTGTGAGAACAGCAAGCAGAGCTTCGCGACAGCATGAAGTCCTCAGGATGTGTAGTTCTGAGGGCTCTGCCTCTACAAGGCACACCAGTCCATGAGTTCTAATACCATTTGATGTTCCTTTAGTACCGGTCTCTACAGGCTCCCATGCAGGGATCATGACTCTGTGAGCAGGAGACCAAGAATCTGCACACATGCCCTGTCTTCTCACAGCATCCTGCCCTGAGTCAACCAGGTGACTGATGCTTGCATCTGTTTCCTGATGATCTCACAACTGTTATCCCACTTGAGGTCTTCCTTGGGAATAGCATCACTGTCAGCTTGCACACAGTACCCTCTGGGTGGGTGATGGGAACAGCCACTTCCCTTGGTTTTGTATTTATTCTTTCCTTTGCTGTCTTCTGGAGGGTGATGGAACATGGCCATCAACCGCATTCTGCCCAGTGATAGAGAAGGAGAAGATCAACTCTATGAATGCACCTGCAAAGGTTTCTGAGTTCTTAAAAAAGCATCACAATTTTTCCCTTGCATAGCTCTGAAGGAATCATAGAGAAAAGAACGGCAGCAGGCAGAAGGGAGGTGTGAGCAGTCACTGCGATTTTCCACTTGGCTACACTGCAAGGCAGAAGGGAGCCTAAAAGGGATACAGTCAGGGGCTCGCATGTGTTCATGGCTCTGCCCAGTACACTCCCTCCCCAGTCCTCTGAGCTTCACTGAGAAGAAGAGGTCACTGAATCAGGGTGTCATGAACCTGTTTGAGCTCCTGCAACTTCTGCTGCAGGTCCAGAGCTTGTTGCCGTAGCTCTGCAGCAGACTCAGCCTTTGCTCCATCATGCAAATGCTTTGAGTCTTGCACAAGGCTGATCACATCCAGTAGGAGGAACAGACCTGCAGTAGCTGCACCCGTGATCCGGGCTCCTTTGGTCATGGCCAGAGCTGTACCTCCAAAGGCTTTCTGCACCTGTTTAGTGGTTTCGGTTGATGTCTTTCCTGTGGTCATGAGACACTTGGCATTATTTGCTAGGCGAGGGTTGGCTTTGGCCAGTTTGATGGCATGAATGTTTTTCTTGATGTTTTCCAGGTTCTTGAAGGAATTCTTGGATAAGGAAACAAGTCTGGGGCCACTCAGACCCAAAACATCTTTCATGTCCTTCACTGTGTCTTTGTTGGTTGGCACCAGCTTGCTGGCTTCAGCCTCAGCAGACACCACACTTACCTTTTCCACAATGCTTGTGGAAACACTAGTCACAGCTGCAGCTGTCCCCAGCCCCAAGCCAGTGGCTGACAGTGCCAGACTGACTCCTGCTGTCACAGGTGCCAGAGTCAGACCAAGGATTGTCAGCACTCCAGACACAGCACTGCTGGAGCTGGCCACCACCTGCGAGATGGTGCAGTCCCTGTGCACCTTGTCAACCTTGTCTGCCAGGGCATGGAGCTTCCTGATGCGCTCCTCGAGTTCCAGTTTCACCTGAGGATAAACATCCAAGAACCTTTGCTTGTGCCACAGGTCACTTTGTATCTTCTCTTCATCTTCTGCATCAGTATCTGCTAGCTCCTCTTCATCTTCTGCATCAGCATCAGCTAGCTCCCCTTCATCTTCTGCATCAGCATCAGATAGCTCCTCTTCATCTCCTGCATCAGCATCAGCTACAGTCTCACCAAGGGCTTCACTCAAGGCATCATCCTCTTTCCTGTAACAGAAGAGATGAGCTGAGTGAGGAAGGCAGCTTGTGAAATAAGATCTGTGCTGTGGAAACCACAGAGCATTCACTGTGAAGCAGAGGAGAATGTCACAGCTCCAAAACTCTTTCTTACCGGGATGAGCATGTGTGACATTCACCATTCTTAGTTCCTAAGGACACAGTGAGTTCAAAACCATCTATAATTGTCCTTTTAATTTTTTATCTATGTGTACGAGTGCTTCTCCTGCTTGTATGCCTGTGTACCATATTCACTTCTAGGGCCCGTGGAGGGCAGAGAAGGAAGGCATCAGATCCCTAGGACTGGAATTCCAACAGTCCTGAGCTGTCATGAGGGGACTGGGCACTGACTGACTCAGTCATCTGGAAGAGCAGCCTGTGCTCCTCATTGCTGAGCCCCCTGCCTCCCCCTTCAGTACACCCTTTTATTGCCAGAGATTTAATAAGGGAGCCATCCCTCAAGGTCAGTGTCATCACTACCAAGACATTTCTCCCTGGGAACTCTAAACACAGACAGATGAGGTTAGAGAAAAGAAAAAAAACCCTTTAATTTGGGAACATAATGTTCCATGAAGAGTTGTCACCAGTAAGAACAACAATCCTTTGACCTGAGCTGCTGGCACATGACCTGTGTACCCTACAATGTCCTTCCTGCCAGGAGTATCCATGTTTGCCTGGAGCCTTGTGCTGTGAGAGTCTGCAAGTTGCACATCCCTAAGAGAGAAACTTTATATAGGACATTCTTTGAGGCTGGAGGTATTTTTGCCCTGCAGTGGTGTGTAGTCTTGAGCTGATGGGACAGCTCACAGCTAAGATCCATCCATTCAAAACACAGCACATAGACTTTTCCCTCCAGCTGTGAGTGAAGATAAACACTATCAGATTTCCCATTCACACATAGGGAATCCCCATTCACATGTGGGGAATCCCCATTCACATGTGGGGAATCCCCATTCACATGTGGTCCTCTTCCCAAGGCATCTCAGTGCACCTCTGCAAAGTGTTTCAGCAGGAAATCTCAGGAGTCAGAGCTTTTTCCTGCTTTTCCAGAGGTTCTACTTTTAACCTTCCCACAGCAGTTCACACCCATTAGTACCCCAGAGAGCTGCACAGAGGAATGTGCAGATCAACGCCCATCACATACAAGAAGATTTAAAGCTTTTTAAAGGTTAGGGGAAAATGTGTTATTCAGAGATGAACAGTTGTTTATCAGGAGACATGAAAGAGGGTCCAGGCAGACATGGGGAGCAGTTAGAGTTTATAGGGGTCAAAGAGAGGATTAAAGGAGTCTTGTGATTAGCTCATCTGCTGTAAGTCTCCAGCTGAACAGACTGACAGAGCAGCAGTCCTGAACAATGTCTTGCTACCTGTGTTAACATGTATCAGATTAACTGTTCTTTCCCATGGGAGCTTTCTTGGTGTGTGACACTCCATGTGACCTCTCATATGAAGGAGGCACTGTGTCCTGAGGAAAACAAAGATTCTGCTTAAAGCCTTTGAAGGGACCTGAGGATGTGGCTTAGTTGGTGAAGTGTTTGTCACACAAACAGGAGGACCTGAGTTCAGTCTTCCAGAGGCCTCATAGGAAAGCCAGGAAAGCTGGGCGTGGGCCTGTCATCTGTGTTTGGGGATGCAGAGTCAGGTCAGCCAGTCTGCTCAGAGTGGTGAGCTCCAGGTAGATAAAGGCAACTGTTATTGTAATGGGGCTGAGAGATGGTTCCTTTATTCAGAATGCATGGTTCTCTTGCAGAACAAGTGAGTTCAGGTCCCAGCACCCACACTTGGTGGCTCACAGCTGTGGGGGATCTGCTGTCATTTTCGGCCTTGATATACTATGTCCTTGATTGTACTATGAGGTAGGAAGCTCACACATGACCTCACTTAATTTCAATACTGTGTGTCCTTAAATTCTCCATTTCCAAATACAGTCAACATGGTTAGGGCTTTCTCTAACCTGAGTGACATCATTAAAATAGGTTCTGTCAGTTACAATTAGTACTACACTGAGTAGCTTGATTTACTATGTCTTCTCAAGAGATAGGGCTCTAGATAACAAATTACAAGCCTTAGAAAAAGGTTTAGAGGAAACATTGGAAGAGATGCAGAATTTCATAGATAAGACTGAACAGCAAAAAGGTAGTGATAAAATTTGGAAGCAGAGTCTAGAGGGTAATTTACTAAAACTAGTAAATCCAAGTGATGTAGAGATTACAGCATCAGTATTACGACATAGAGAGAAATGCAAATCGTGGAAGCTCCCCGCAGAAGCTACGGGAGTCTACAGAGCAGAACAAACAACAGAGAGGGAAATTTGAGACCCAGCAATATGGCCGAGAGGAAACCACTGGAACTAAAGACAGAGGGTTTATAGCTCAAGGTAAATGAGAGAGAGAATGAAGGTCACAGACAGGAGCTGGAAAAGACACTAGAACAAAAGATGCAGCAGCTCACAGATCAGACTGAGTGGCAGACAGAAAATAATGAGAATTGGAAGCAAGGACTGGAGGAGAACCTTTGAAAATTAACAATCAAAATAAAATAGACAGCAGAATAATAGAATTATAATATAAAGAAAAAATAAAATGTGGAAGCAGAACCTTGAACAGAGAGTATAGGAACTTATGGTAAAGGAGGGACTTAAAATATCAACTAGGGAAAATACTCAGGTAGAGACAGAAGATAAAATCAGAGAAAGACAACTGAAGGTTCTTAGAAAACAAACTTTAGTTTACCCGGTTAGTATACAAAGAAGACCACCAGATGATGATTATCCAGAGGGTTATCAGGCATTCAAATGGTGACCCATGGATATGTTAGAACTTAGAAAATTTAAGGAAAGTGTCACTAATTTTGGAATGCATTCACCATTTGTAAAACAAATCCTGACTTCTTGGGCTATTATAAATAGAACAAGCTCCAAAGACTGGAAGGATATGGCAAACGCAATACTAGAACCTGTGTCACATTTACAATGGTTCTCATGGTGGAGAGAAGAGGTGAAGCAGGTAGCACAACAAAATAGAGCCAGAGGTAGAGATATTTCCAAAGATCAGCTGCTTGGTGAAGGTTGCTTTGCTGAGATAGAGTTGGGCTGTATATGATGAAGAAACCTTGACCTTGTGTTGCTTGGCAGCCTTAAAGGCCTGGGACAAACTCACAGAAACAAGGAAAAGATCTGAGCCATTTTTTCAGGTCACACAAGGTCCAAAGGAAGCATTCCCTGACTTTTTGCAAAGGTTGACTTCTGCTGTGGAAAGGAGCATATCGGATCCATCAGCAAGAAAGGCACTAATCCATTCCTTAGCTCTCAAAAATTCAAATGTTGAATGCAAAGAACTAATCAGACCGATGAGGGCAAAGTCAGCATCAATAGAATGGATTATATATACACTTGATGTTAGATCTCATTTCCCTGATATGACGTTAATAGGAGAAGCTGCTACCAGAGGCCTTAGATCACCTAACATTTCAGATGTCTTAATTGTGCTGAGCAGGATCACTTCAGAATAAACTGCAGAGAAAACCAAAGTAATCCCAAAGGGGAGTCCATGCCTACTGGAATATGTAAAAGATGTGACAGAGGCTGACATTGGACTAGAGAATATGACGCAACAACAGACCAATGGGGCAGCACTTAACCAAAAACTCTCAGGAGGGCCTCTTGTAGGCCCCAATGCCAGACAGGGAGAGTTCTCTTCCTCAAGACAGTTAAACACCACTGCTCTGAAAACAGACTTTGTGAGAACAGATAATAAGGTAGAGGCAAATTCTACAGACAATACAAAGAACTTAAAAAGGGGCCAATAATGAATATCTTAGCAAAGTTCTATAGAGGATCAAAGGCCCAAGCTTAAAGTATTAGTAAACAATATTGAAATTGAAGGAGTGGTCAATACTGGAGTCAATGTCACCATTAGTTCTCCAAAACCTTGGCCTTCAGATTGGCCACTTCAAGAAGTAGACATCCAGTTTCAAGGAGTTAGGACTTCATCCAAACTAAAGCAAAGCACCAGATGGCTTAAATGTACAGGGCCCAAGGGTCAGATAGAAAAATTAAGGCCATATGTTGCTGCGTGTAATTTTAAAAACAAACTTGCTCCTTTGCCCCGGGCCAGGCTCTGGGCTCAGTTCTGAGATCATGCTCTGCCAGCCCTAGCTCCTGACTTAGCTCCGCCAACAGCCAGGTGACCATTTTCCCCAGGAAGTGTGATTGCTCCTGAGAACTCTGATTGTTCTCCTGGCCTCTCACGGCCCTCTTTGCAAAGCCAACAACAGTCACCCTGGCTGTCCACTTTCTCCTCCTGCTCACCTTAACAGTGGATAGAAAATACTAGACAGTTATAATAATTCAAAAGCAGCCAGATAACTCAATGGTTGGGCAAAGAATTTCCTGCCCTAATCTTATCAAGTAGTTTCCTCCATCTTCCTTGGCCCCTGCTTGAGGCAGAGTCTACAAACTCTAGGGGCCCCAAGACCTACATGTCTGCTGCTTTTTCCTCGATCCAAAACCTGGTCCAAAAACTTTTTTCTGAGTCCCCTCTCTTCCTCTTGGGACCCAGAAGTCCCACCTATTTCCCTTCACCCAGCAGTTGTCTTCTGCCTCCTTTATTGACACAATCAAGAACCATTTAGGGAATCGACACCTGCCTCTACAATACATGGCTGATATAGTCATCAGCTTATGGGGAAAAGATCTGTTACAACAGTGGAAAATACAAATTAATATTCCTGCAGTTTCACAGGCTGACCATAAAACCAGTCAGGCTCCCAATAAAAAGAATCAAATTAGTTAAGGAATGTCATCAAAGACAGTTATGGACTGTCTAGGCTGTCCATAAACAAGAAAGACACAGAAGGGCTGATAACTCAGCTTTCTATCAGGGAGCCACTGCTGTTAATACACCAACAGCCTTACCACTAAGGTAGTTAACTGACCAATTCATTTGAGTTGATCAATGGTCTATGACAAAAGAAAAACTGCAGGCGCTAGAACAGGTAGTCCAGGAACAGCTGGAGGCTCAGCAAGGAGTGAGTGTAGTCTCTCTACTTAGGGGGAACATGAATGGGCAGTGTAGGATCTCATATAGGAGAAACACTCACACGAGGAGGAGTCCCTGAGATATGCCAGAGATGGCTCTGGTAGAAACAGGGAACTTGAAAAGAGACTGTGACTTAAACACATACGCACACACACACACACACACAGACACACACACAGACACACACACAGACACACGCACACCTCAAGCTGGGTGATGGTGCAGGCGCCACTCAGTAGGCACATGCAGAGGGATCTCTATGAGCCTATCTAACACAAATGCCACTGCTGTCCCCTCTATAGATGGGTCATATACCTTCATGTTACTACTCAGTGTGGGTGTGTCTCAGTCATTACACACTCACCTAGCACACACACACACTGGAGAGGAAGGGGTGGGACTGGGACAATGACTCAATCAATACAGAGCACAAGGACCTGCATTTGGATTACCAGCAGGCAAATAAAAAGCCAAGCAAGGTGGCACATGCCAAGGAAACAGGAAGAGGAGGAGCCTTGGAGGCAGCTGGCCAGCCAGTCTAGTAGAACCAGTAAGTTCCAGGTTAGAGAGACCCTGTCTCAAAAAATAATTGGAATGCAATTGATGAAGCATCTTACACTTTTCTCTGGGTTTTATATGTACACACACACACACACTCACGTACACGTGGATGCACACATACACAGGAAGACACACTCACACAAATGCACACATGCTTTTACACATCCTTACACACATGCATACACACATGCACAGGAACACACATTCACACAAACACACACACACATGCTTGCACATACACATCCATGCACATGGACAGATCCATGCACACACATACACACATGCACACGAAATGAATATCCTCCTCCTAGTGTCACTCTTGGTCTTGCTGTGTCTTGTGAACCTTCCTGCTGGTCAGTCACAGGTGAGCTCCTCTGATGAGCTGCTCCCCAGATAGGAAGTGTAGGTGAGTCTCGTCCTGCCTGCTCCTGACCAGCTGAAAGCCCAGGCTGGAGCTTCCCTTCCCATGGTCTAAATGGGGTAGAGGGGAGCTTTTCAGCAAACCCTTACCCTCTTGGTGGCTGCATGGCATCTTCCCCTGGGCAAGGAGCCCAGGGCTCAGGACTGCAAGCTCCTCCCTTGAATCTCTGAATTCCTACCCTTCATCCAGCACATCCCTCCTGCTGCTGTGTCCCTCCGTCTTCACCACTCCTATCCCAGATTCCACCACAAGCATCTTCCAGCATTCCAGGCCAGTGCTCCAGGCAGCCCTGGAACACAGACCCCATCCAAAGAGAGGCCTCCCCAAACCACCTGCTCCCTGATGGCTTCTTAGGTCTAGCTCATGAAGTCAGTGTAGTCTGAGTCATGGGGCCCTTGGTGACAGAAAAGCAAACCCCATGGAATTACTCAGCTAGGAGGAAAGGCAGATAGGAGCTATGCCCTCAGACTGCAGGATCTGTAAGGTTCCTGAGAGTTTCCAGTAATTTCTGTGCCTGTCACTCCCAGCTTCTTCCATTGTTTCCCTCTCTTGCTCTCCCCAATCCCATTGTTTCACATAGCCCAGGCTAGCCTCAAACTCACTAGATAGCTGTGATGGTTTGTATATGCTTGATCCTGAAAGTGGCACTATTAGGAGGTGTGACCTTGTTGGAGTAAGTGTGTCACTGTGAGAGTGGGCTTAAGATGAATGGACAGTTATGACATGGGTCCTTATCTTTTACTGAGATGAGCTAGGTCTAACCTCACAGAAAGGAGACACACAGCCAGGGTGGACCGCTGGCCTGAGCCCTGTCCTCCACCCGTGGGGCAGTGGCTGAATCGATGCTGGGGCAAAGAAGCACATGAGTGGACAGCACATCCAAGCCTGGGCTAAATAGAGGAGGGAGGCAGCTGCTTGTTACCGTTGTCAGCACAGAAATACAACTCTCACCTCAAAGGGGATAAGACAGAGTTTATTCTGGAGTCAAACAGGCTTCCATGGGAACCTTCCTTCTTCCAACGTCCTATGTAGGTCTCCAGCAGAAGGTGTGGCCCAGACTAAAGGTGTGTGCCACCATGCCTGGATCTGGGACTTGCTTTGTCCAGATGACCTTGAACTCAAGAGATCTCCTTGCCTTAGTCTCCTGGGATTCATAGCCACTATGCCTCAAGATCTCCATGCCAAGATCCAGGTCAGACACTTGTATCTCCCAGCCTCAAGATCAGGATCACAGGTGAGCCTTCCAACTCTGGGTTGTAAGTCATTCCAGATATAGTTGACAACCAGGAGTAGCCACCACACTCCGGTCTCTACACTCACCTCTTTGTCTTAGTGTTCCCCAGATCCTCTACACTCTACCTAAATCTCTCAAAGGCCTCCCAAGAGAGTCCTCTAGCGACTTCTGCCTATACTTTCATACAAATGGCACCTCCTTCCTGTCAGAGGCCACAGCAGGCAGACCACTCCATTATCAGTAAAGACAATAGTCACATGGACAGAAGAGCTCTTCCAGCTGCCCTTTCACCCCTTAGGACTCACCCCACTTTCCTCCAGGTTACCGTACTCCATGACTCAGGTAACAACACACCTAGGCTTTCCTCAACACAGGATCCTCCCATAATCTCTGCTCTGCATATTCAATTCATCCTCACCATCTTCTCCTGTTCCCTCAAGGTCACCTGGGGCCCACAGTCTCCTCTCTCTCCTCTTACCCATACTTACCTCTGCCTAAGTAATTGCCAAATATCCACTGACTTCCCTAAATTCATGAACTGTTCTTAGACATCAAGCACTCTGAATAACACCCCATTCCCAATTACAATAACTAAACCCCAAGCCATTACCTCTCTGATACACACAAACACACACATGCGCGCTCTCTCTCTCTTTCTCTCTCCTCCCTCTCAATTTCCCTTCCTATGTACTCAAACAAACTCCATTCTATACAATATCCAACATATGGCTGGTACCTCACAGAGAAGGGATGCCACAGCATGGGCCTGCAGAGGCACCCCTCCCACCTAACCATACATGGCTCTATAAAACATATCCTAGTTTCTTTTAAAATACAACACTATGTGATATGCAGGTGGGAGAACTTAGACATTCCCCAACTTACCAGGAATCTTCAACAGGCAGTCCTCAGCTGTGTGGACCCAGTGACCATCTGTGCATCCAAAGCATACCTAAATGCTGTCTCCTGCTTATATACTCAAATTAGAAAATGAAAGAGAAAGCCCCACTTACAAAGAACTCACCACCAAAACAACACAGGAAACTTGTGGCTTGCTGGATGTTACAAACTCATCCCATGCTCCCTGCTGACCCACTCAAAGGAGTGACCTTTGTCATGTCATTCTAGGTTCTTCTTGGATGATCCCATTGAAAATGAAGGTATCTATAGTCTGGAGGGAAAAGACCTGCTTCTACAGACTAGGGGACCTGCCACAGGTCACTTTCTGTACCTCGTGGGCTCTGTTCAGTTCCTCCTTCCTCACTTGCAGCCTCAGCAAGACTGCAACCTCCTGGGTCCTGTTGATGTTGATCATGGTGCTTCTCCAGGATGCAGTGCACAGTGTCTGGACATCTGCTTTCATGGGTTCGCCTACCAGGAGCTCTGAACCTGGAACCACTAAATATCACATCCTCTCAGTGAAATAGGCTCCTAGACCTTAGTAGGCCCTCAGACCTAAGCATAGCTGAGTCCATGATGGAAGTACAATTCAGTCTGTAACTTCAGCGCATAGACAGCACCACATAAAAAATGAAAACAAAGACCTAGTCCATCAAAGTTCATAGTGCTGGGAAAGTATCTGAATGTACTAACCTTGCTTTTTGGCTTTTATAGTTCCATTTCTGGCTAACTGTTCTTGTTAACAGAAGCATGTCAACTTAGGATATGGTTACTGTGCTTAACACCTTACCCTAAGAAGAGTGTGAGGCTACTCTGAGATTCTGAACACTGTTGTAGTTGCTGGCTGGCTAATAAATACTTTCTATTGGCTCTAACCCATGTGTGAGTAGCCATCTCTAGTGGATATCCATAATATTACTGGAAGGCCCACAGATATTTGCAGAGCAGGGAAGAGTGTAATGTCCAAGGATCTCCTAAGTTCTGTGATCTGAGATGTTCCAGGTCCCTTTGGTCAACCTCTGTCTAATGCTTGAGAGGAGTCTGACACTTCCACCCCAAAAGGAAACAAATTAGAAAGTCCTCTGGAGGCCTGGTCAAGGCTCCTTCTGTTTAGGACATAAAGAGAGGCTTGATATGGCCATGGATCCAGTGTCCAGGATGTGTGAGGCATCACTAGACTTCTCTGGTCAACTCAGGTGTATGAATGTGTGGTGACCACCTCTGGTTTTCTTTACTGTGTGTCTCTCTGTGTGTCTTTCTATGTGTTTCTCTCAGTTCTATTTTGGTGTATTGACAAATGGCTTTCTTGGGTGTGAGGCCTCACCTCATCCCCAACCTTATGACATGTGTCCTCTTGTAAGGGACTGGAATCCTTTTGGTGATCCAGGTTATCCAGAAAAACCCTCAAACCTTTGCCTTTCCCACTTCCAGAGCACTCGATTGCTTCGTTGCTTAACTCCCACTCAAGGGCTGAGTCAGACCCAGTCCTGTGTAGAGGTGGGGAGGGAATGTCGGGGAGGGGGTAGTCTGCCATCTGAGTAGAATGCACACAGGGAGGAGAAATACTTCCCAAGCCACACACTGCCTTTGCTCCCCTGCCTCACCACCCTCTCTAACAGCCCCTGGAAATGGGAAAAATTTCTTTGGGCCAAAGAGGAAGTTCCACTTCTTCCTCTCTTGTAATTGATGTGAACTTCCCAACAAGTGATGTACTTAATGAAAAAACTCAAAACCTACCATTGTCAAAAAAAAAAAGTAGAAAAATCACCCTGAAAGTTGTGGGGTGAGGGTCAGTGCTGGGCCATGCAACCTGCACAGAATGGATTTTCCCTTCTGTCCAACACTGACTGACCAAGGAGACTTTAAATTGGTTTTGTTGGGTCCTGTTTAGAAAGAATGAAAATAGCTGCTGCAAGATTCCCTTTGTCATCCAGTTGGACCAGACAGTAGAGAAAAACGTAAAGGCATAAACAGATGTTGTTGTCTACAGGTCGCTCAGTTGACAACCGAGAAATGATTGAGAGACAAGACCTTTTGCATAAACTGAAAGCCTCCATCACCATCTCTGATGGTGAGATGCAGTTGGATTTACACATATCCTGGAAAATTTTGGTGTCCTGCCCTCCTCCAGAAGAAAATGTTCTACCTGAACGCCCTGCCTCCAATTAAAACATACAGTTGGACTATCTCTCACATTGACAACAATGATTCTTGGGGGTGTAGACAGAAACCAACCCACTATGCCTGGCCAAAACCAAGTTCCTATAATTGTTCAACTAACCAGTTCAGCCACCTGCATCCAGATTAAACAATACTCAATGAGCCTGGAATCAAAAAGAGAAATTGCAGCCCACACTGCCTGGTTTAGAGAGACCAGCATCCTGGTGCCCTGCCAGTCACCCTGGAACATACCTCTCCTGCCTGTGAAGAAACCTGGGACCTCTGATTCTTATGAGTCTGATCTATTTCCAGAGAAGCAGGTGTGTTCTGCCTTGAACATGAAAGTTGAATTCTTCAGCCTCCCATGGACCAAAGTGAGACAACCCACCTTTGATTTGACATGGATAGGCCCTGAGGGAGATTGTAGTAGGCAATTTATTTGGACAAGGTTACCCCAAGGATTTAAAAATTCTCCAATCCTGTTTGCTGAGATACTAAATGCTGACCTCCTGCCTGCCCTTGTGTCAGAGTCTTTCTGGGATCACACTCTTACAATATGTAAATGACATCCTCTTAGCCTCTAAAACTACAATAAATTATAAAGAGGCCCCTGAGGGACTTCTGCAAGAGTTACAGACCTTGGGCTACAGAATGTCAGCTAAGAAAGTCCAACTCTGTACATCCAGAGGCTTTCTATCTTGGCTACCAGCTGAGGGGAGAAAAGAGGAGCCTGGTTCAAAAGCCATTCTTCAGATCCCAACTCCAAAGACTAAGAGACAAGTTTGTCCAAGAGTTCCAAAGTGTGGCTTGTTATTGCTGCTTCTGGATATCAGAGTTTGCAGAAATGGCAAGACATCAGCACAACAGAGGAGTGGTCACTAAGCTCTAATCCAGACTGATATTAAACAAAAGGCATTTGTGAGTCTGACTTCAAAACTGCTCTGAATTCAGTGCCAACCCTAGCACTTCTGTCTCCAAACCTTTTCACCTGTTTGTCCATGAAACAAAACACATTACAAAAGGTGGTTTAAACCAAACGTTGGGTCCATGAAAACCCCCTGTGACATACCTGTCCAAACAATTGGACACTGTAGCCACAGGATGGCCCACCTGTCTAAGGTCTATGGTGGCTACCAGTAATCTAATAAACAAACATAACAACAACAAAACCAAGTTAACTCTGGGTCAGGATCTTATACCCACAGCACCCTACACTGAGGTTGGGCTCTCCTCTGAGCAATCCCAGAATGCTGGCTGTCTAATACCTATGTAATCCAGTACCAGTCTTGCTCCTGGACCACCACCTTCAAGGTTTCAGAAACCCTCCACCTTCAACCCTGCTACCTTTTCTCCTGATAATAACACACAACTCTTCATGTATGACTGTCTCGAGGTGAAAGGTGAAAGCAGGTACGTGTTGCCCAGAGTAGTAACTTTAACTGAAATGTTTTTAGCATAAGTCAGGTTCATCAACCCAGAGAGAAGAACTGATCAGTCTAAGGCAGGTTCAGATGGGGAAAGGAAAGTTCACCACCATATATGCAGACAGTTGCTATGGAACACGAGTGAACCATGTTTTCTAGTTTACAGTGATTGTTGGCAGTGTTTTTTCTGATGAATTCCCTTGCTCTGACTCTCCTCCTTTTCCAGCATGACTTTATCTAGACAGAGAACATCACAGTGAGATGCAGGGATGTCAAAGGGTCTACACGAGCTGCAGGCTAGCAGAGATGTGGATCCTCTGCTGAGTGCAGAGTAGACTGGAATGCCCATAGTCTCTTCAACAGTCTCAGGGTTGAGCAGCAGGATGGAGCTGCAGACTCACGTGGTGGGGGAGAGGAGTAAGCATCTCTAACCCGAGGTTCATGAACAGAGCCCATCCCACCTGGACATCCTGAAGATCTGCTCTAGGTCAGCTGAGCTTGACCAGTGACATGACAAGAATGGCCACTTAGGTGGCTGTCACATAAGAGTTGGGCTGATCTAGGGGCAAATTCAAGCTCAGGGAATGTGACCCTGAGGCAGTGGGAAGTATTTGCTGAAGGAGCTAATTAATTAACTAATTAATTAGGAGGACGTGTGTTCATTCTGGCATCTCCTAGTGGAGGGGTCAGCAGCCAAGAAGTGACCATTGTGGTCACATGGTGACAGTCAGCTCACTGGAGACAAGGCTTGGCCCCAGAACTACACTCACCTGTCAGCTCTTCTCCCTTTTCTAGGGCTAGGATCTTCTAATTGAACAAGGGACTTGGTGGTTTCTGAAATTGTCTACGTGACCAGGATAGAAAATCCTTCCAGGACTGCAAAGCATAGAGAAGAGAGTAAGCAAGCTGTGCTGACAGCCCTGGGTGACTTCCTGGGTGTAGAAGGACAGCCACTGCTCCAAGATGATCATCATCTGGCCACCTGTCTTTGCTCATTAGGAAAAAAGTCATGCTCTAGATTACAATTGTCAGTTTCAAGAAGGTTCCAAGTTTTAGAGTCAAGCACTTCTTGGCCTCTGGCCCCTAACCAATTGTAGAGCTGCACTTAAAGATGACAGAATCTAACCGATGAGTGTATTATTTTTGTGTTGATGCACAGATAACTTTGTCCTCAGTTTGCTGCATGAACCATCATCAAAAGCACTACACACATTTGCTGTTGCTGTATGAACACAGTAGCTTTGGGATGGCAGTTTAAAACGGGATGAGTGATTGATTCAGAAACACTTGAAATCACAGTTTAGACTTTCTGCTGATGATTGCAGAAGTAGCCAAGAACATTTAGCCAGAGAGAGGATACAGCATCCTGTTCAGCAGATTCCTGCATGGGAGAGGGGAGAAGAGGCAGGTGGTTAGGGATGGCTTATGAAAATCACCTCACCAGGGAGCTCTGCAGCGTGTGTTAAAGGTACAACTGGTCTATGCACTTATTCCCCTTAGTTAGAAGACATGAGAGAGTTGACAGGTATCACTGCTATATCTAAGCAGAGTCTTGAAATCCACCACACCTGGCTTCTGCAAACAGTGTGGAGAATCACCCCAGATCCCATGATCCAGCCAACACACCCGAGTAAATGCATTAAAAATGATAACAGAGACACAGGCAGATGTTTGTTCTCCATAGTCCTAGACACTTTATTGATAACAGTCAAAAGAATGGCCTGGATCTGTCTCAGTATTGAATAGACAGGAAATTCTGATCCCTATATAACCTGATGATGCCTGGGGACATTAGCATAAGTTAAATAAGCTGGATGTGGAAGGACAAACCCTGCATTCCTCCTTCATGAGGACTATGGGGAAGTGAGATCCCACAAAGCAGAAGCCAGTGGTGTTTCCAATTGTAGAGAGGAATTACCCCATAAAGGTTCAGTGTCAGTTCACAAGAGGGAAAGAGTTCTTATCTAGAGGTGGAGATGTTGGAACCACACGTACCACAGTGGTCACTAGAGGGGGCCTCATGAGTATTTTACCACACCTTCAAAACTCTGTTGTTTTTTCTTTTAAAATTTTATTCATCTTCTACAATACACCCAGACCATTCCCTTCAGAAAAGCTCAGGTCTCCTAGTAATATAAATTGAATGCATCTAACATCATGCTAAGATTAGGTACACACATACCAAGGCTAGACAAGGCAATCCAATAGAAGGAAATGGGTCCTACCATCAGACAAGAGTCATAGACTCCCCTAGTCCTGCTGTTAAGAGTCCTGGGGGGCTCTTGCTTTCCTGGCACCTGGGATTTTCTGGTTGCTACCTCCAGTTTCCCATCCCCCATTGCTTTCATTCCTGCATTTCCCCTGGAGCCTAAGATGAGTGAAATACCACAAGATAATTGCCCAGGCCCCATCTGGCCTTGAGGACAGTAGACATAGGGAAGCTGGTCTGGATGGGTCCCCACTGAGCAACTGCCACTGCTGTCAACTCTCCACATGTTTCTCCAGGGTCTTTGCCTGGTCTAATGAAGTAGCAAGATTTCCTAAATTGTTTCAACCACATGGTGTGTGTCAGTCACCCATCCCTTGGCATGATAACCCAGAATTGCTTCACATGACCATGTTCTAAGAGTTTCAAATTGTTTTCTGAGTTTTCCTGAGGAGATGTGAACAAATGACTATTTACACCAGGAATGGCAAGGTGCTGGTGACAGACCAAAAAAATGATCCTACATGAGCCTAGGTTAGTAACCAAGTGAGTTTATTCAGGTCACTTACAGGAGTATACTTAAGAGGTTGCTTATAGAAATATGAGTGACTTAAAGGCATCTCTCTCATGGAACAGTGCCCATAAGCATAAATGGCAATTCATAAAACCTGTGTCTCTGGAGATCTTTGCACAAGTTTTGAGAGGGGCAACTTCATGTCTGTTCAAGGCTGGAAAACATCATCTATAGGTATAAACACAAATCTATCCAAATAGGAGATTTATACTCTCCATGAGGCAGATCCATGCTGGGCATCTCTCTTTTCCCTGGAAAGGATCATCTAAGGATGTTTTCAGATGATTTCTCAGGAAGCCCTGGTAGCCTCATCTCCCGTGTGAATAGTGAAATGGAGAACACATCCATTGTCTTTGCTCTTTTCTCTGCCCCTCCTCCTAACATTCCCACACAGACTCAGCCCCTCTGCATGGCTATACCTTTGAGCACTGCTGGATACAAGAGGCATCTATGGGCAGTGTGAAATCTTTATCCTAAGGGCAACCAAACCCATCGGAGAAGAACAACCCAGCAGTTAACCAGAGAGATAGTCTGGGGGGGGGCGTTCTGTCCTGTGTGCAAATTGGGCAGGGGCATCATGAAAAGGACCATCCTTAAAGCTCTCTGGGGAATTGAGAAGTAAACAAGAAGACATCTTGGAAAAGAATGATGCTGTCTAGGTGCTTGTCTTGCCCCGTCTACAGCTAAGTCTCATGGTGCCCTAAGTCCCTGACTCATGGGTGAGGAATCCACCTGAGCTCAGCCCAGCCAGACAGGAATGGGTTTGACTGAGTTCCCTAGTGGGGCATGCAGGTGGCAGAGTCTGGAGGAAGTGAGTCTCTATAGAGTGAGAAATGACACAGAAACACAACAGAGGACTTGCCCTCTGACATCTTGAGAGAAAGGATCATGATACAGGGATGTTGGGCAGCCAGTGTCCAGGGAGCCTGCTGGCTAACACAACAGAGGCTCAGTGCATCCAGGCATCCAGCTTGGCTTGACTGCATCCATCTTGAGTCACAACCCTGACCTGCATTCCCTCCACGGTCCTGAAATGTCAGTGGCTCATGGGGCTTTACAACTGCATCTCAGTGCTGTGAACATTAGAGATGTGCTTGGCATCCTTGCTGTCTGCTGAGACAAGAGCAGGCACATTCTGCCTCCGATGAATGTCACCTTTATCTTTTTCAGTGTATAACCCCTCCCTCTGTGCCAAGTGGCAGAGCCATCAGACTTCCTGCCTCCCTGGGTCCTCCTGCTGTCCATAGCTCCCTATTAAAAAGACAGGTAAACCTTTGCATTTTCTCTTCCTCTCCCAACATGACAGCCTCAAGGAAAAAAAAAAAGAAATAAAAACTAAAAGTGAGGAGATCACGTCCCAGATAGAGGTTCTGGCTCAGGGTGGTGGAGGAGGGGGCTGGTGAAGGAAGCTCCTATGATCTGAAACCACTCAGCTGGGCTGATAAAACAGGATCTGGCAGAGATGTGTCAATTCACTGGCATGGTGATGGCAGGGATGTGTAAAGGTTGCCTCTGATTGGTCACTCCATCCTTTTCCAAGCTCCACACACTTTTGGGAACTCTATCTTAACAGAACCAGTCTTTCCAAATTGCTACTTTCTACTTTGCTCAGTGTGGTGGTTTGAATACTTATGGTCACATAGACTCATGTGTTTGAATACTTGGCCACAGGGAATGGCACTAATTAGGATATAGGGCCTTGTTGGAGGAAGTGTCACTGTCAGGGTAGTCTTCGAGTTCTCTTAATCTCCAGCTATGCCTACTGTAACAGTCTCCTCTTGGATGTCTTTGGGTCAACATGTAGAACTCTCAGCTCCTCCAGTGCCATGTCTGCCTGCAAGCTGCCATGCTTCCAACCATAAACTACACCTCTGAAACTGTAACCCAGACCCAATGCAATGCTAGTCTTTATAAGTCTTTATAAGATGCCTTGGTCATGGTGTCTGTTCACAGCAATGAAAATCCCAACTGAGAAGTAGTCAAGGCAGGAACGGGAGCAGCCAGCCACACTGCATCCAGTTAAGAGCAATAGTAATTGAATTCATGCCTACATGCTTACTGGTGTTTATTTGGCTTTTCATTTTATAGTTGAGAATCCATTTCTAGTTGAGAATCCAATTCTAGAGAACACTGCCACCCATGGTGGAGGAAGTGACCCACATTAATTAGAGTCATTTAGAAACCTCTCTCCCGGGCACGTGCACAGGACAAGTTGAACTAGAGGACCGCTCACTGAGATGCTCCCACATGATTCTAGACTGTGTCAGGAGGACAGTGACAACTGAGCATCTCATTCTCCCTCTAACAAAATGCCTCAAATCTGTCCAGATCATCTCCACCGAACTCCATGTTCTTTAGGGTGGCTATCACTAAGGCTCCAGGAGTGTCTTGTGGACCTGGGCAACCTCTTTCAACTTCTCCTCCAGCTCCTGAGCCAGGGCCCGCAGTTCTTTGCCTGACTCTGATTTGGCTCCATCGTGTAAATCCCTGAAGTCCCTTACAAGGGAATACATATCCATTGCGAGGAAGACACCTGCAGTGGCTGCATCCCTGATTCTAGCTTTTTTGGTCATTGCTAGAACAGTGCTTTTAAAGGCATTCTGCACCTGACTAGCACGTGAGGCAGGGATTCTTGCAGAAGTCATGAGGCGCCTGGCATCTGCTACTAAGCGAGGGTTGGCTCTGGCTAACCTAATGGCCCGAATGTGTTTTCCCAAGGTTTTCAATTGTTTGATGACATTATAAATGGTTTTATCAAGTTTGAGTGCATTCTGACCCATGACAAGAACTGTGTTCAGAGTGTCCATGGCGTCTGACATCAGGTCCTTGGCTTTAGCTTCATCTGACCACCTGCTGGTTTGCTCCACAATCTCAGTGGCAGTTCCTGTCACAGTTGCTACTGTCCCCAGCCCCAACCCAGTTGCTGAGAGTAGTAGACTGCCCCCTGCAGTCATAGGTGCGAGAGCTAGACCCAGGATGCTCAGGACTCCTGAGGCAACACTGGTGGAGTTGGTTACCACATTGGAGATGGTGCAGCCCCTGTGTACCTGGTCAAGGTGGTCAGCCAGAGCTCGGAGCTTCCTGATGTTTTCTTGCAACTTCCTTTTCAACTGAGGAAAAGTTTCCACAAACCTCTTCCTGTCCTGCAATTCTTTTTGAAGTCTGTCTTTGTCCTCCAAGGTGGGGAGTTGTAGGAGCAGCTTCAGAGCCTTATGCAGTGAAGCTTCCTCATCTCTGTAACAGAAGTGGTCAGAGCTTCAGGAAGACAGCCTGTCTCACTGTAAGATGGGTTCTCCTGTGATCTGTCTTGTCAAACCACAGACTTACATTAAAAAACCAAGGGGAAGTATTTTACAGATGTGCAGGGCTTTGTATTTTATAAGGAACACTTGATCATCACAGATGCTGCCTGGTCCTTAGTCTGTAGGTGCCAGTGTGTGAAGTCATGTTAAGATATACTTCATGACAGACTCATGACAAAGGTGCCTTCACTCAAGGTCTGTGTCATCACTACCAAAATATTTGCCTAGTGTGAACTCTGTAGATGAGCACAGGGATGTGGGATTACAGCAAAACTGGGGACGTCCTGAGGGTCCCCTGGAGATTACCTCGACAGTTCAGCCTCTGCCACCAACACTTTCCAGGCTTCATCTTTGGTCAACAGGAGCTGCAGGTCTTTTCTGCTGACCATGTCCTGTAGATACTCAGTGATGTTCTGGATGAATTGTCTCCTCAAGACTTGGGAAGAAAAAGAATGAGTTCAGAGAACAGTATTGAAGAACATAGATGGTAAAGAGCGCACAACATCTCACACCCACTATGTTCAGCATCTGCTGTTGGGTACCTGATGGAGCCTTGGGGAATGAGTCGTACCCTTAAATTCACATGTAAAAGGCTTAACGCCAGCCAGAGATGGACTTTTATGAAAGGGAAGTAATGAGGATTAGGTGATGTCATCAAAATACATCCCTAATTCATGGGAGTCTGGTACTTATAGGAAACAGAATAGATCTCATGTTCATACTGCCATCTATCTATCTGTCTATCTATCTATCCATCTATCCATCTATCCATTAATCCTTCCATCTCAGTCATTCTCAACCTTCCTAATGCTGTGACCCTTTGTCACAGTAAATCATGCTGTGCTGACCCCAATCCTAAAATTCTTTTTGTTGCTACTTCATAACTGTAATTTTGCTACTGTTATGAATGGTAATGTAAGTATCTGACAATTCTGATGGTTTTAGGGTGATCCCTATGAAAGCATCCTTTGACTGCTAAAGGGGTTACAACACCCAGATGAGAACTGCTATCTATCTACTTATCTATCCCATCGTCCTCTGTGTCTCTCTGTGTCCCTTCCTTCCTGCCCTCTCTATACACACAGGAGAGACTGTGTGCAGACTTTGAATTAGCAAGCTGCTGCTACCAAGCAGGAAGAGTGCCTGCACCACAGTCAACCTGCCATTCCCTCATGACAGGCTTTGGTGTTCACAATGGAGAGAAACAGAGGACTTTGTTCAAGACCTCAGCCTGTGAGACCACAGGATGGCAGCTTCAAAGGCTCATACACCAGGGAGGTGTCATGGTGCTTTGCAATGAAATGAAATGTCCTCTGCAGTGAGCAATCCGAAGGTGAATCTTTCTGCCTTAGTCAGTGACAACCTTGAAAGGATGACTTTCATCTACCTTAAGGCTCTTGTATGTGTTAGTAATCTGTTAAACTCCACCTCCACAGTCACCTGGCAACAGCCAGGTACGCTCCTCGCCACAGTTACCTGGCAACAGGCAGGTAACCCTGCCCACTATAAAAGGGGGTGCTTGGCCGCTCCTCTCTCTCTTGCTCCTCGACCCCCCGCGCAGGCAGGTTGTCCTCTCCCCTGTCCCCTTCATTCCCCCTCTCTCCACATAGTCAAGGCCGGCCTCTACCCTCTCTACTCTTCTCTCTCACTTCCCGCTCTCCCACTCTCTTAATAAACCTCCCCTCGTGGAACCGTCTAGTCTGCTGTGATCTGTCCGAGCTGTGCGTGACCTTTTAGTATGTTAACAGTGACACTGGAGCCTGTGAATGGGACTTTCAACTCCTCAGAGAGTTGTGACATTGGTTTGTTGTATAAAGGAAGCATTTCAAGGAAAATAGAATTCACAGTGTCAGAATTTTCATGTCAGACAACTAAGGCTAGCTGTGGTGGGTCGAATGGGATTGGCCCCCATAGGCTCATGTATCAGAGTGCTTGGTTCCCAGTTGGCTGACCTGCTCACAAACAGTGGCTTTATTGGAGGAGGTGTATTACTGGGAATGGCCTTTAAGGTTTCAAACTGCCAGGCTTTCTTTCTCTGTCTCTCTCTTCCTCTCTCTCTTTGTCTCTCTCCTTCCCCATTAAATGATTTCTTGTTCATGTTCTCTTAGCCATGGTATCTTAGCACAGCAATAGGAAAGTAACCAAGACAGCAGTGGGCACCAGGGAGAAGGCTGTTGCTGTGACACACCTGACCATGCTGGTTCTAAAGGGCTGTGGAAGACTTAGGAACTCAGGAACTGGAAAGTGGTTGGACACTGAATAGGGATTAATGGGACAT